GCCCTGCTCTGAGCCCGACCAGGGGCTGCACCTAGGGATTGGGTGTGCCCTCTGCCACCCGGGAGCAGGCCTAAGCCAGCAGGTTGTTATCTCCCGAGGGGTCCCAGACTTCGAGAGGGCCCAGGACGGGCTGAGGGACACCATTCCCTCCCCCCCAAGTGCACATGTGCACTGGGCCTCTAGTGTGTATATATATATATATAGCAAAAATTAGAAGCATTATCATTATTACTTCTGAAATGTAAGAAAAAGCATCACTATTTCCTAGATAGCATTTTATGGTAATATAATTTATATGTTTAGATAATTTATCACAAATTTATATTATCTGTTGTTGTCTATATTATCATACATAACCTAAGTCTGACTAAATTCAGTATTTCACATGCATATTAGGAACCAGGTATAAGAAAAAATGCTTAAAAAACTATTAATTAGTTTTACTTAGCCTTTTATTAGTCAAGCTAATTGTGGAAGCAAAAACTTATTTTATTTTAAGGAATAAAGTTTGAACAAAAATCAATATTTGAAGTCTTCTTAATTAATAAAATGTACTAATGTAAAAATTTAGGTATGACTTCAATTTTTGAAGATTATACTAAAGAGAAACAAATAAAAACTTAAGTTTGAAAAGAAAAATAAAGAGGAAGAGAAAGAAAAAGAAACCCCCAAATTTTTCCTTTTCTTCATCCATATGTTATGGCAGTACCTAGAAACCAGAGTGATGGTGCAAATATTTAGCAACCAGTATGGAATGGGCATTGGTCAGTCAGCATAATTAGACATGAATGTAATTAGAAAGAAAATTGATCATAAGCAGCTAGTATACCAATATCAGAGCCTACCAGCTGAATATCAGATCTGCAGATAATAGACCCTTACCAATATGGAGAAGGTTCTCTATTAGTACACCTCCTGTCCAAAAGAAAATTGTCTAACTAAATAATAATGATTGAATATAAGAACTGAAAAAGAATTTAGGGATTATTGTTCAAATAGTTTATGCACTCTGACTCACAAAACCCTTCAAGGGACAATTGCAGAGGATGGATGTCAAACAGAAGCCCTCAGTAGCTCTGCTTTCATCTCTTGGGCTTATGCATAAAATTTGGAACTTAAAATAATGGCTTCATAGTTTTTATAAGCTCAAAAATAACTTACCTAATTCAAAACTCTTAGTTTGCAGATGACAAAGACTAAACCAAAAATGTTGAATAACATTATCAAGGGCATCAGAAAGCTAATAAAACTAGGTCTTTTCCCAAGTCATGCCCTCCACAATTTGTATAAGTTATAATGTAATCACAAATCTCCTTAGAATAATCAAAGCAGGAGGGAAGACCCACATGGCCAGGGCAGCAGCTTTGTGGGAAAATTATTAACCCTGTCTGTTTCACAACATGTCACTCATTCCCCTACATGAGACCTCTTATAATACAAACAGATGGCTTTTGTAAACATCTGTGCATACTAGCTATTGTCCATCTTTGCTTTATCAATAAAAAAGCATGTATAGTCTCTTCATTAAGCATGAAAAAGAAATCATCCATTCAATTAACCTGCATGTCCTGAGCATGCACTTTGTGTCAGGTACTGTGGATAAGGATTGAAAACACAGTCCTTGCCCTTAAAAGACCCTCCGTCAAGTGGGGGAGAATGACAAGTACTATAAGCAAATTAACAATTATAATACAGCGTGGTAAGTGTCTAATATATGCATGCATAGGGTGTTATAAACACAGAAGGAAATTACAAAATGAAAATGAACACAATTAAGTGTAGGGAAAAGCTGCCAAAAAGAAGTGACTCTTATGTCTTAAAAAATGAGGCAGCACACAATAAGCATGGAACAATAGTTCAGTCAAAGAAAACAGCATATGCTATACATGGAAGTGTCATCATGGACAGAAAAGGAGGCTTCCTTATGGTTGAAGAACAAAGTGAAAGGCTAGAAGTAGTGAGAGATGGGGCTAGAGAAGTATGCCATGGCCTGACTAAGAAAGCAATCAGAGACACAAATAAATACTAAGTAGGCAAGATAAGGTTAGCATTGTAGCAAAATCTCTCTCTTCAACTTGTGAAAGATGGATCAAGAGAACTAAGGTTATCTGAAAACTCCTTAGGAAGCCAAAAGAATAGAAGTGATAGAGGTAACAAATTCCTAAAATAGGACAGCAGCAAATAACATCAGATCAGCTGACTGGATAAGGGAGACATTTAGGAGTCGGATCCATAGAATTTAGAGATGGTTGGACATAGGAAGTGAAGGAGATGTGGGAGAGAAAAATGCCTCCCAATTTTTCAACCTGAGTTAATGGAGTGAACGAGTTCAACTTAATTCCCTGAGCTTTACATAAAAGTATATTTGACTAGAAAGTAATGTTTAGGCTTTACTATTTTAAGTTTGACAGAACAGTGATAAAATAGGTATGGATGTTAAGTAGGCTATTAAAAATATACTTTTATATTTCCAAAATGAGGCCAGATTAAGGATTTGAGTATTGTTGGTGGTTGAAATCATGAATGTATATAAAAGGACACAAGGAGAATGTTTAGTTTGAGGGGAGGATTAAGAAAAAGCCTTAGGTGACATAAATATTTTAGTGGAGGTACAGAAACAGGAACCCACAAATGAAAGTGAGAAAGAATTGTTTAGCAGGGAAGAAAAAAAAAAAGGAGACAGAAAAGCCACAGAAGCCCAGCAAGTTTTGTGTGCAGTAAGAAAGGATCTTAAAGGATGGCTGATTCATCTATTCTCACTAGAACTAGAACAAATAGACTAGTTGCTTAAAACAACCAGAATAATACAACTATTTGTATTTTTCATTCGTGCCAAAAAGCAACAGAAAGAATATTTTCAGATATGCAAGGATGCTGAAGTAGCATCCACCTATATTATGTATAAAGATTAGCAGAAATTTAAAAGGTATTAAAGGAATTCAATGGCACTCAAAATATTAATGTATACTATTGAGCTTATATAATAACCAAAAAAGGAAAAGAAAAAATTATTAACTTTTCTTATTTTGTATTAAAATTACAAAAGGGATACCAAAGTTATAATAACATTGTAAAGTAAGCTTAATGTATAATACTTTGACAGATTCTAGAAAGAATGCCAACTAATTGACCTGGGGCTGTAGGCAATTTCTAGATGTGACTATTCTAGAGGCACAAAATCCCTAAGAACCCGGAGAAAAGTCAGCTATATGTTTCACTGGCACCATTTTCTGCTGTGGCCAGGATCATTTTTGTCCCATTCATCTTTGATGTACTCTCTTCCCACATTAATCTCTGGTAAACAGCTCTTAAACTTCTTCCCATTCTCAGATGGGACAAATTGGCTAGGGCCTATAGTGGATGGAAGTGGTCCCCCAAATCCTGCAACTTTATGTCAGGAGAGGATAGGGCTGAGATGGGAAGAATAGAGGGAGATGCGCAGTCTGGAGGTTTTAGTATTTCCTGCCCCCGTGACATCCAGTAACAGTGGCTGGAGAACTTTCTCCTCGGCCAGCAGAGCCAGCAGAGAGCTACCCTCAGTCTTAACATGAGACACAATAAAACTGACCAAAGTACCAAAATTCCAGCATAGAATCTGAGATGATTCATATGGTTCTATGAACAACCACATACATAGAGAGAGGGACCAAGGAGACCACATTCATCCCATTTATTTTCAAACAACACGTACAGATACAATCTAAAATAGAATTGTTTATAATTAAGTGCAGAAGCTTGGGATTTTTAAGATTGGTGAAATTTTTAAAAAGGAAACAAAAATAGCAGTTAAGTTATAGAAGAATAAGAACGTTTTTGAAAAGACTTTCTGGGGAACAATACATTTTAAACGGCTGCTTATGCTCTCCAGAATTACACAGGATGTAACAAAACAAAAGATGAGATGCGGGATAATAAGATAGAAGCTGGGAGAAATATAAAGTAAGCGATATGAGGTAAATGAAAATTAGGGGGAAACCAATAATGCAGGTGAAAATTCACATCGACATTATAATCAGTAAAGAATAAAATCAAATAGAGAGGAAAATCAAATGCCAAGGGAACAGGAAAATGATGAAGTTGACACAAATTAGTAAACATGAAGAGAAGATACTCAAAGAAATTCTATTAATACTTTTAGTTTCTAAGTAATCAGTAATATTCAGAAATATAAGGGGGGAGGGATTCTGAACTGTAAAAGTCTAATTCTGAGATTAATGAAAAGCAAATAGCTCCTAGCATTGTCTAGTAAAAGTCCTTAAACTTAAGGGAGTCAGGTGGGGGACAGCATATCCACAGGGAATAAGTGGGCTGAACTCAGACTTCTCTATCACAATATAAACTGCCTAAAGACCATGGAATAATATAAATGAACTTCAGAGAGAAGAAAGTTTTAACCTCAATATTTCTATTCACATCATTCATGCAAAAAAGTCAACAGAAAGACATTTTTTGGATATGGAAGGATGCTAAAATACCAGCCACCTGTAATAGCTGAACACATCAACAGAATCTTAAAAAGCATTAAAGGAAATCAATGCAACTCAAAATATTAATGTATACTATCTAACATACAATAACCAGAAAAGGAAAAGAAAAAGTTCATCTACCTTTATTGTAAGTGTAACTGGCTTGCTGTCTTCTGGTGTTTTCTGTGGATTAAACTCTGTTTCAGTATCTCTTAGGAATCGTGGTTTCAAAATATATCCAGAACCACCATTATCCAAAAATTTCCCATTTTGAATGTCCATAGGCACACCAGGGGTCTGGAAATTTAAGGCCACTGTGAGAAAAAAAGTATTTTGACATGGTCAGGAAATAGAATAGCTAAAAACAAAAACAACAACAAGTTAATAGAATCACCGAAACCTAATCATGGGTTATATATCTTCAAACATTTTAAGAGCAAGCCTCATTAGTCAAATAACTCTTGATTCATAAACATTTTCTCCTGCCATGCCTATATCAACATGGTGATTTTCAAAGTTTAATCTGTAAATTATTTTATAGTTTTGAGTCAAAGAATCAAAATGACACACAATATATATTATAGAACAACCATGTACATGTCAGATAACAGCCAGTGAATATGAGAATAAAGAAAATCAGTACATTGCCCAAGCTGGTTTGGCTCAGTGGATAGAGAGTTGACCTGCAGACTGAAGGGCCCAGGGTTTGATTCTGGTCAAGGGCACATGCCCAGGTTGCTGGCTCGATCCCCAGTAGGGGGTGTGCAGGAGGCAACCAATCTATGATTATCTTCATTGATGTTTCTATCTCTCTCTCTCCCTCTCCCTTCCTCTCTGAAATCAATAAAAAAATATATTAAAAAAAAAAGAAAATCACTACATTAAATGCAGGAAGGAAAGATACCAACTCTATCATAAACTTTCAGGTCCAAAGAGATACAGCTATCTTTGGAGAAAATGAAAAAAAGACAGAGCAATAATGTTGTTAAAATATAGGAATACATCCATATAAGCTGGTAAATAGCCACTATATGCATTATCACCTTCCACCATTCCCAAAACCCCACCCCCACCATCCTGACCCTTCTCTCCTCATCTCTTCAAACCTATAGGCCTTGCCACAGTCCTGTAGCAAAAGGGTTAAAACTTGGCACTATTAGTGCCAGTGCTATACCAGCTGACCAATTTGGAACAGGGAGAGTCTAGTAAGGAAAAATAATAAAGCTATGCAATCTCATTCACTTTTCAACTATGAATGCAACAGTTAGTGTAATGTGTAAAAGGTCGAGGTTACTTAATTTGAAGAGGCCCTTAGCAAATCTTTCAAGCAAAAGATTTAATCTTCACTCTCCTCTTACAGCAATTTTGGTTTTCTTTTTCCCTTCCTACACTTCCCTTGCTAACTCTTCATTAATTTATTCCATGCCCCCAACTTTCACCTAGACTTACCCTCTCCAACATATTTAGGAATAACTTCAACTCTTGAAACCAATGATTCATCATTATTGCTTGAATGCAAAACACCCAGGGCCAAAACAAAATCTTCAAAAGAAGCTCTTTCCAAGAATCTTTTATTAATTTATAAAATTCATTTTACCTTATCTTTGCAAAAAACTCAATATCCTTTATAACATACCCATTTGACAACCTATATTCCAAAATTCTTGAGGATTAAAATTAGAAGAGTCTGCTCTTAGTGCTTTGGGGTATATTCTGGTAATGAACTTCGTGGTGTGAAGAATAAAATCATGGGCTAAAAAATAAATTATTAAAACATTGTGAATTTTTTTCAAATAAATTAAATTAACTACTTTATATATACTATATAATTCTACAATAATTCAATAATTTCTATGTGTTATCTTCACAAAAATATTTGCAATTCATGTAAATCAAAATAAATTTATGCCTTTATATTTGACAGTGTAATTCACCATTACTAAGAGGGTAATAATAATTTATCACACAATTTTATGCACACTAATCATTCACTTGAGAAATGAATGTTAAGTCCCATAACATGTTTGAGGGGGGAATTTTTTTATATCTAAATTAATTTCACTTTGACATAAGGATAAATAAAATTCCAAAATAAAATGCATTCATTTTTAAAAAATAAAAGTAGTATCATTCCAGATTTTGCCTTACTTTGGTTTTCACACTAGGACATAATCATATATAAGTCATATAACTTTATGATGCTATTATTAACTCAGTTGGATATTTAATAGATTCCCATGGTTGAATGGGACCTTAAAGTTATCCAATTCAGCTGTCATCCCCAGCCACCACTTCATCTTCCCCCCAAATTCATTCCATTTCTGTTTGCATCCTTCCACTGAAAAAAAACTTACTACCTCCCAATGTTTCTGATGATTTCAATTGTTTTCCTTACTGAGATAAGGTTTATACTTGTAGTGTACATTAACACACACACTGTTTATTTGAATTTATATATTTTTTGTTTCTATTTATATATTCTTTACATTTTTATTTTTATTTCTTGACACTTTATTTTTTATTGCAATCATTTTTTTTAATTTTTCAATTTTAGTTGACATACAATATTATATTAGTTTCAGGTATATACCCCAATGATTGGACATTATATAACTTACTAAGTGATCATCCCAATAAATCTTATAGCTACCTGACATCAGTTATTAGAATTTTATTGGCTATATTTCCTATACTGTATTTTACATCTTCATGACTAGCCTGTAATAATCAATTTGTACTTCTTAATCCCTTCACCTTCATATATTCTATTTAAATCACTTGAGATGCAAAACTAATTTTCACGCTCTACTATTGGACACTCCTTCAAATTTTTTAACACAAATTTTATGTTTCTCTGAGACACCTAGTCTTTATAATATGGTGACCAGTTATGGGATAAATGATTAATGCCTATGGCCCACTGTATTTGCTAGTCAAACTAGAACAGAATCATTGCCATACTCATCCTGAATATTATTCTTTAGGAAGCATTATCAAGTAAAAAGTTAGTTACTAAAGTTAACACTAATTACAGTTAACTTCATCAGCTCTCATTTTTAGAAGTTATACACTCTCTGAGATAAAAGTGTATTTTGAAGCTACTCATGTATAAATGCATGTGTATCCCAGTATCATGATCCCTTATCCAGTCTTACGCTAGATGTTTATCTTTAGGTAAAATGTGTTCTTCTGGGCCTTAATTTTTCTCATCTACAAAGCAATAAGCATGAATAATCACTAAGGACTCTTAACATAATATGCTTTTGTTATTTCTGAGATTAACCATTAGAAATAAAAATATGCTGTTATTCCAAATACAATTCATCTTCATTTTAGATAAATGAAAAAGTCAAATTTTAAAAATAAGAAATAAAACCACATATAATCTTTTCACTAAAATAATAACCACTGATAATATCTTGGTATAAATATTTCGATTCTTTTGCCACATGTACATATTTAATTTTAATTGAATCATATTATTTATTCCCTTTTATGAACTTATTTTTATTTACTAAAATAACATGAAAATCATTCCACTTCAATAATATTCACCTACCACATTATTTTTAACTAGAGGCCAGGTGCACGAAATTTGTGCACAGGGCTGGGGGTGTCCCCTCTGCCAAGCCTGCACCCTCTCCAATCTGGGACCCCTTGGGGGATGTCCAACTGCTGGTTTAGGCCAGATCCCAGGCAGTTGGACATCCCTCTCACAATCCGGGACCACTGGCTCCTAACTGCTCACCTGCCTGCCTGACTGATCGCTCCTAACTGCCTCCCCTGCTGGCCTTGTCACCCCCAACTGACCCCCCTGCCAGCCTGGTCACCTCAAAATGCCCCCCTGCCAGCCTGGTTGCCCCTCACTGCCCCCCTCTGCCAGCCTAGTCACCCCATGCAGCCTGCTGCTCGGACATTTGGTTGCCCCTCACTGCCCCCTCTGCCAGCCTGGTCACTCCTCACTGCCCCCCTCTATCAGCCTGGTTGCCCCTCACTGCCCCCCCCACCAGCCTGCTCACCCCCAACTGCCCCCCTGCCAGCCTGGTCACCCCATGCAGCCTGATGTTCAGTCATTTGGTTTGCCTCACTAACCCCCCTGTCGGCCTGGTTGCCCCACGCAGCCTGTTTTGTCCATCCATTTGGTTTTTTCAGTTGCAACGGTCACTTAGGCTTTTATATATATAGATGACTAAAAAACATATGTATGAACATTTCTGTTTCTTATTTTTCCTTATTATAAACTTAATGCTTATTATGTTTTTAATAATGATGAACTTCCTTGCAGTAGACCTTTGCCTATATCACTAATTATTTACTATTGACTTTGGGTTCAAGAAAAATACTCTATACCAGCCATGGGCAAACTACGGCCCGCGGGCCGGATCCGGCCCGTTTGAAATGAATAAAACTAAAAAAAAAAGACCGTACCCTTTTATGTAATGATGTTTACTTTGAATTTATATTAGTTCACACAAACACTCCATCCATGCTTTTGTTCCGGCCCTCCGGTCCAGTTTAAGAACCCATTGTGGCCCTCGAGTCAAAAAGTTTGCCCACCCCTGCAGTCTATACTCTAGCCAATGAAATGGTGATCCTACACTTTATAACTCTAATTAGAATTACCCAGTCCCTTTTCAGTGTTTGAACAAGTGTTTAATATAATGAGAGTGAGAGAATTATTACTACTTTTGCTGTACCTAAAGGTCCTGTCCCCATGAACAACAGAGAACATTCAATTTTTTGAAAGGACAGGGAATAATAAAGTAGATCATTCAAATTCAAACTCTATTGACAAGACTTTACAGTGAAAAATATATTTGTATCACAACCCAACACACACACAATTATAATTTATAAATAAAATATTCTCACTGCATAAATATACTCACATTATATTACATTACATTATTTTAACTGTGGTCCATGCCTACTGAAGTGATTTTGGTCACTATCTGCAATTTAAAAACAAAAACATCCAAGGTCTAAAATATTCAGTGTCTTTCTAATAGGAAGTTTAAGGAGATGAGCTAAAATATACCTCCAAACACATAGTACCAGTGGCCAGCCTAATGAGGTTAACCAACAAATATATCAAAATCCACGTTTCCAAACAGCCAACAGCCTTTCTCAAGTCAGTTGCAGGTGCTGATTTTTACACAAGATGGTAGATTGCAATTTCTTAGAAACACTTGGAGAGTCACCTGACTGTTGAGTTAGCAACCCATTCCTTTTTAAATTGAGGATATTCCCTGCCATATAAGTCTGAGAAGAGGGCAGGGTCTGCTTCCCATTGTGTTTCCCAGGCTTTGTTGCATCTGGGCTCTACCAAACAGAATAACCCACCTCAGATTTAGAATCAGAACACAGGTAAAAGGAGATACAGAGACAAATGTCCCTCTACAGGTGTGCTGTGGCAATGCTCACACAGCACACACGCCTGGTAGTCTGGCCTGGGTGCGATTTCCTCCCTCTCCTTCACCTCAGACATACAGCCTCCAGGTCTACTTAACTCTACCTCTTAGATCCTACTGAGTCCAAAGAGTTCACCCTGGCTCCACTCTCACTGAGGCCTTCATCGTCTCTTCCCTGTAGCCTTATGTGGCTATCAGAGGCCTCTTTCAAAAACACACCAGAAATCATGTAATTCCTGAGATTTCAATCTTCTCTTGCTCCCCTTTGATTTCAGGACAAAGTTCCTGTTACTTGTAATTTGGCTCTGCCTTTCTGTGCAGACTTGTCACTCTCTGCCCTCCCATGTAAACCCCTCACCACAGCCCCAGCCACCAAAGTGTCCACACTAGACAGTCTCAATCAAAATTTCATGATTTAAAGAAGTTGATTATTGGTTGAGTTCTGTAAAATAAAACTTAATGTACTTGAGGCATACAACCTTTTTAGAATACGCTAAATATGTTGAAATTTTATGAGAATGTAATTTTTAGAAATTCCATTGACCTATCTTGACACCTTAGCAGTGACTATAACATTTAAACATTTCATCTGTTTGAACCATAGGAATTTACCTTTTAACTTGGAAAGTTTTCGAGCTGTTGACTCCTCAATAGAATTACTTTCATAGAATTTTTGATACTCTCTTGAATAGTTAAAGTCTCTGAACTTCTCAGCTTTAGTATAAATGACAAGATCAGATAAGGCCAAAGCCACTTTTACCTTCAAGGTGTAAAAATAAAGCAGTCATTTCACATTTTTGCACTAATAATTTGAATTTTTTTCCAACAAAGAAAATATGCATTCAAATCAACAATTTGGGTCTTTTCATAAGATTATCTCCTCAAAAACTACTTGAATTGGGTCGATGTGATTATACTCTATGACAGTACTTAATGTTAAGATGAAATAGCTCAAACCTAAAAATCCCAATTAATGTAACAAGTATTAAAAATGGCAATTACTGTTATTTTCTTTTTCCCAAAGACTTCAGTTTGCTGTCATGAATTTGAAAATTTAGGAATTTTAGTCCTGAGTAAGTCATATTTCCAGGATGATAAAACATTTTGGAGTAACTCCTATTGTAGAGTGTACATTGGCTCTTTTACAGGCCTGCATCTATATGCGCTGTACTTCTATTGGCCTCTTCTCAAGTTTTGTTTAGGGAAAACATTTTGTGCTCATGCTAAATCTATGTGCTTAAGAATCCATAATATGAACTGGGCCTGACTAATCAAAGCTTTGTCTTCCTGTAGCAACTCTAATTGGCTCAAGGATGTGCAAATAACTGTGTCAGAGCCAATGAACAAAAAGAATTTGTTTGGTCATCTGAGAGATAGATGGGCCTTCCACTGGATTGGAACCTGAAAGCATATACAGTCTTGCACCAATATAGGGAAAGTGAGTCTAAAGTTGGAGAAAAAAACAAAGCTCTGTTTACTTTGCTGGAGAAATGATACCAAGTCATTCCTGAAAGTAGCATCCCTTTCCTTAAACTTTTCATTTATGTAGGGCAATTAATTGCACCAAAAATTAATAACTTTTACTTAAAACAGACAAATTTTTTCTGTCACTTGCAAGCTGATATGCCTTCTTATGTCATGTTAATTTGTATACTTATAATACTACTAGAGGCCCAGTGCATGAAATTCATACCCGGGTTGGGTCCCTAGGCCTGGCCAGCAATAAGGGCCCATCTGTGGGGCAACTGGTGGGGCAATCAGGGGCCCTGCTGGCACCTGCATTGGCCAGCCTGGTGCTGGCCGCTTACTGGCCAGCCCTGCCCCCACCCCCCATCGCCACCTGCTCACCAGGGTGACTGGCAGGGTGATCAGCCCTACCCCCCCACCCCCCCACAAGCACCCGCTTTGGCTGGCCTGGGGCCTGCGGGCTTGGGGCAGCTCCTGCATTGAGCATCTGCCCCTTGGTGGTCAGTGCAGATCATAGCGACTGGTCGTTCCACTGGTTGCTCCACCATTTGGTTGATTTGCATATTAGGCTTTTATTATATAGAATATTTTACAAACAGTGTTTTTCTTTTCTCTGACAGTCTTATCTCCTTGAAGGCAGAGACATTATATTGTTTGTATCTTTTGTACACTGCACAATGCCTAGCACATAAGACCACATATTTTTCACTAGAGGAAGAGATTAAAACAAACAGGAAAAGAGATAACTTTTAAAAATTATTCTCTACTGCTAATTTCTTCCCCCAAAAAAATTGAATAATAAACTAAAGTTTTTATAAGGAGAAAAATATTTCTCTCCAAAAAAATTTTAATTCTCTACCAATAAGAAAATAAGACAACTTTTCAATCACTTGTAAGATTTTCTCAAATCATGATCTCACCTTCTTTTTCCTGAAAAACGCTAATCCAGCTGAAGTCTTTGACTCTGTTTCCTTTTCTGGACTGTCTGTTAAAGTAATTACTAGTCTTGAACTTTTGGCTTTGTGAACTTCCTCTTCTGGATCTACATCTTCATATTCTTCATATTCCTCTATTTTACCATGCTTATCCAAACCTTTCCTTGAATGGGTTTCTATTAAAGTTCCTATTTTCTTGTTTCTAACTAATATTTTGAATTTTAATGCCTGCAGAAACAATTTGAAAGACAGATACAATTACACATTTACAGGTAAGTTTGCATTTGTAGCAGTTATTGGAAAGTCTTTCATCATATTTTCAATTAGCTCACAGTAGTAATACATGTAAGAGCTCCATCTTTTCCATACTGCTATAGGTACCCTAATAGACACCAGTAATATTATAGTATTGACCAAAATTCACCAAAAAATAAGCTTGTTATGATTGGGACTTGTTGCAGATTCAGTTCTGACTTCAAAATTAGAGAATCAGAATCTTGAGTTGTGAGACTGGAATGTGCCTCTTTAACAAGTCTCCAGGCATTTTTTTTTTTTTTTTGTACATTGAAGACAGTGCAGTATGAGAAAATGACTTTATCTCTAATTCCTTATTTTCTCTTTGGAAAGCATTTCCTTACTTTAGTATGGAAGCAAAAACTTTAATGAAAACTATATATCCCAATGCTAAAAATAGATTTATAAATAACAAGAGAAGGGATTCTATTCCTAGAAAGCTAAAATTATTATAATTTACTGAATTATATCATGACTAGTGGCCCAGTGCACGAAATTCATGCACAGTGGGAGGGGGGTGTCCCTCAGCCTGGCCTGCACCCTCTCCAATCTGGGACCGCTATGAGATCGGGCCTAAACCGGCAGTCGGACATCCCTCTCGCAATCCGGGACCGTTGGCTCCTAACCGCTCACCTGCCTGCCAGTCTGCTCGCCCCCAACTGCCCCTTCCCACCAGCCTGATGGCCCCAAACTGCCCTCCCCTGCCAGCCTGATGGCCCCCAACTGTCCTCCCTGGCCGGTCTCCAGGTCTAATTAGCATATTACCCTTTTATTAGTATAGATTCTTAGACTAAATATTTCATGGAGTTTCCAGCACTTTGCACAAGTTATTTAATGTTTATTTTCTGTCACAATTGGACAAATTTAGCCTGTGGGCATTATTATGAGGTGAAAGTTTTTCCATGTGTTCAGTTTATTTTTTCTGTCTCAATTCTTTCATGAGTCCTGTGCTCTTGTCACTACTGTCCAAACACCTTCATCTTTAAATTTTTCACTCAATTAAATAAAATGAGAAAAAATATAAAGGGAAATTTTCAAATATTACAAAAATACTGTTCTGCACCAAAATTAAACTCTTTGTTCTTAAACAATACTATCATGAAAAAAAAAATCATTTATCATCTGGTGAAAATTGGGGCCAGCAGAGTAAACTAAGAAGGACGGGCCAGAGAATGAAGAAAGCCTCAAAAATGAGGAGTTAACAAAGAAAGTGCTTTAAGGAAAGGAAGGAGGCATCCCCAGTGTTTAACGCTGTCAAGGGAAAAAGACAGATAAAGACTGAAGTAGGTCCATTAGAATTTATCAGCAGGAAAGTATTTGATGATCAAAATGAAATATTTATTATGGTGCAGTTGGAAGAGGAAGCCTGATTAGGTAGGTTGTGAGGAGATGAGAAAGTGAAAATTTTGGTTAAGACCAAGAATAATAAAATAAAGAGATAGCTGGAAATCAAATTGAAATTTTGAGGGTAGGGTGGGGGGTACCTTTTTTAAACCAAATACTAGCATATGCTCAACTGAATATGGAAAGGGACCCATAGAGACAGTTACATTGAGCAGATTAAAATAAGGAACCTGCCACCCAGGTGCTGAGGTATTGAGCTGAGGTTCTGAGGATAAATACATAGACATTTCAATTTGTACGCAATTCTTAACATACAAAATATATTCATCTAAATGTTCATAGAAACATTTCTAAGCAATGCATTGCAAAGATACATCTCTACAAATAATCAAATGTAAGCATTTTCAACCATCTCTAACCCAGTTTCATAAATCAATAGCACAGTGACACACTTTTTCTTTTGGTCTTAACCTGGGCTTCTCAGATAAAATGTTACCTCTGGTGAAGGTAGTTTGTCTAGAAAATCATCAAGAATATCAGACAGCAAGGCATCTCCCAAAATAGAATGCAAAATGTCTGCTATCACTTCTTGTTGGGGAGGAGAGCAGTGATTTTCTAAAGAGAGCACCACTGGGTAGTCAGATGTCTAAAAAATTAACCATTACTACAGTTATTTCTCAGAACTCCTTAATAATTTATTGCAATTAAAAGAAGCACTTACTCTATTTTAACACTTACTTCTAATGTACAGTACCTTTGCAAAATAATTATTTTTGAAACTGAAAGTACTTTTAAGTTTGACAGAACAAAGAACATTAAATCTATAGGAAAAGAAAAGTGATTACTATTTGCACTAGAAGTATAAGAAACAACTGAAGCATCCAACAATGGGTACTTATTTAAATCAATAATGGCATATCCACTTAAAGGAATAATATAGATCAGTTAAGAAGGAGGTGCAAAAAAAATTAAAAAAAGGAGGAAGAGGTGCAGCTATATACACTGCTGTAGAAATGTGTCTATAGTCTTGTGAAGAAAAGCAGTTGCCAGAGAATATGAGGCCACACTTTTACTTTTCAAAGTACATATGTATGTGCTTATTTATATGTGCTTAAATGTGAGGGGGGAAAAACTTTAACACTGATAAGTTAAGAAAAATGTTAATTTTCTATTTTTTCTATTTTAAATTCTAAAATCAGAACTTATAGTTTTATCATTTAAAGCAATGATAAAGATATTTATTTTTTAAAAATATAGGAGATATATTAAAGAAGGGTGACTCTACAAAGACATTTTCTGCCCTTTCTCACCACTGTAAATTTGAAATTTGCTACAAAATAGCATCACTCATTTTTGGATCTTATTCAAAATTATTTTGTCTCCATATATGATCATCAAGATACAAATTTACCAACTTTATAAGCAAACCAGGGAATTACAGGGTCTGCTGCATTATCCCAGACATTTAAGTAGGAGATATATTATACCTTTCTAATGGATTAGAATCTTACTTTCTTGTGGCTGCTGTAACAGACTAGTACAAACTTGGTTGCTTGAAACAACAGAAATTTATTCTCTCACAATTCTGGAGGCCAAAAATTTAAAATCAGTTTCACTGGCTAAAAAATTATTTCAAAGTATCAACAGGCTCTAGGGCAAATCTGTTCTTTGTCTCTTTCAGCTTCAGGTGTTGCCAACATTCCTTGGCTTGTGGCCATATCACTCCAATCTCTGTCCCTCCTCCCCCATGTCTTCACATTGCCTCCTCCTCTGTGTGCTTGAAATCTTCCTCGGTCTCCCTCATTAAGGATACATATGATGGCATTTAGGGCCCAAACAGATAACCCAGGATTTAAAAAATTCTCTCATTCAAATTCTTTAGCTTTATCACATTAGTAAATACCCCTTTTTGTAAATAGAGTAGCATTTAGAAGTTCCAAAAATGAGAACCTAATTTCTCCAGGGACCCATATTCAGCCTACTACAATACTAGTATACGTTCTTACAAGTATACATGACCATATACATACATACATATAGACTCCGTCTAATATTGAGAGAACATGTAAAAAAAGTTTTCCAAAAATAAAAAGTGATTTTGAAACTAGGCAAAGTGATAGCCTAGCTAGTAGATGGGGAGAGCTCTTTCTTTTTTTTTTTTTTTTTTTTTTTTTTTTTTTTTGGCTTCTGTGGTGGTCCTTGGCTCCAATCTCTGGAAAGGTCTTCTTGTCTTTTATCCTTCTTGGCCAAGTCTAAAGTAAGTATTGAGGAGTTTGCTTTTCTTGTAGCTCACTTCCTGACCCAGGGTTGTTTTAATGCTCACCTGAATCACACTTATGTTTTGTTTTGGTTTTGACAATATAATTACTTTTAAAACTTATTTTCTTATGTATTTGCTTCTAATAAGTTACATATGCCAGTATCTATGCCCAAAATTATGTCCTCAATCAAGTTACCAAATCTACTTTATTTCATTGCTATCTCTCCCAAATTAATGGTAGAAAATTCAAACTTCAACCTCATCTTTGCCACAAAATTGAGTTACGCTGTTCAATTGAGAAAGTTCATTGAGTCTTGCTGCTCAAACCTTTTTTTCATTTTGTCTCCTTCTCTTTGGAACCTTAGAAGCGGTAGGGGTTTCCATCCATGCAAGAACTTTGAATTTTAAGATTGTCTTTATTTTATTTTCTTTCCTTGGTTACCCACCCTGGATTAAGTGAGAGAGTTTGCTATACAAATATTTGGAGAAAGTATTTCAGATTAAGGGTTAATATGGCAAGTTCAAAGGCTTTGAGGTGTGTCTGAAAAAGAGTAAGAAGGACAGAATAGACAAGCAAACAAGGGGAAAAGGCCAAAGGATAAGAGAGGTAACAGAAAACAGAGGGTGTAGGGTTTGGGGAGTCCCATTATGGGTTGTAGCTTTTATTCTGAGTGGGATTGAAGGTTTTGAGAAGGGGAATGACATGATCTGACCTACCAAAAAATCACTCTGGCTGATACATTGAGATGAAACTACAGGGAAGGAAGAAGAAAAGCAGAAACATTGGATATGAAGTCATTGCAATAATCCATGTGAGAGGGGATGATGGTTGACCAGGACAGTGACAATGAGAATGGGAAGAAGGGATTAAAGAAAGTAGAGCCAAGAGGACTTGCTAAAAAACTTACTGAGAGGTTGGAGAGAAGGAGGAGAGAGTTAAAGTTGACAACAATGATTTATTTTAGGCCTAAATACATAGGAGTTACCATTCAAGGAGATTGGGAAGACCATGAAAAGAGTGAGACTGGCAGAAAGAGGACTATCTGGAGCTCAAATCTAAATGCCTTATGTTAAATATGCCTCTTAAATATTCAAGTAGAATGTGTGTGTAGTTTTCTGTATTGGTGTGGAGTTCAAGCGAGAAGTTAGGATAAAGATATAAATTTAGAATTATTAGAAATGGTATATTTAAGAAGATCAATGCCATTCATCAACGTTTTAAATTAAGAAATTTTTCATATTTTATATTTTGTGAATATTTACTTATTTTATACTACAGTGGGGCCTTGACTTACGAGTGTCCCGACTAACGAGTTTTTTGAGATACCAGCTGTCTCTCGGCCGATTTTTTGCATTGAGTTGACAGAGTAATTTGATTGAACGAGCTCCTTAACGAGCTCGGTCTCAGAACGAATTAAACTCGTAAGTCAAGGCCCCACTGTATATTTCTAATAAATGATACAGCAATTTATTTAAATTTAAGTTATGTTTATTTTTTAGATTTAAATACTTTTTATTTATTTTTATTGATTTCAGAGAGGAAGGGAGAGGGAGAGAGAGAGAGAGAGAGAAACATCAATGATGAGAGAGAATCATTGATTGGCTGCCTCTTGCATGCTCCCTACTGGGGATCGAGCCCGCAACCCAGGCATGTGGCCCTGACTGGAATCAAACTCAGGACCCTACAGTCCACAGGCCAACACTGTATCCACTGAGCCAAACCAGCCAGGGCAGGTTATGTTTATTTTTATAGTTAATACACTGATCTATTTAGGAGAACTTTAAGTTTATCAACTTTATGTTTAATTTAATAGATATGCATTAATTTATTAGATATACATTAAGTATTCAGTAAGATTAGATTAAATCTCCTCAATTTTACAATTGAAGTACTTAAGAAAGAAATCAAATATACTACATTAACAAAAACAATTTAAAATATGTAAAGGTGCTTAATTAGCCAAGTTTGTAAATGGGGCCAAGTATTCAAAACTGAGTGATTGCTAAAACCTACCCAGTTTATAGAATAGGATTTGTAAGCTACTTTAGAAGCTCTAGAAAGAACTGGGTCTTTGAATCTGTAGCTTTAACCATTGAATAGTAATTTTAAAATCCAAAATAACCTTCTAAACATTTTTGCTGTAGAAATAGTTGCCACTTGCCTGGCCATTGTGCCTCAGTGGTTGAGCATAGACCCATGCACCAGGAGGTCACCAATTTGATTCCTGGTCAGTGCATTCCTGGGTTGCAGGCTCATTCCCCAGTACGAGACATGCAGGAGGCAGCCAATCGATGTTTCTCTCTCATTGATGTTTCTCTCTCTCTCTCTTTCCCTCTCTCTCTCCCTTCTTCTCTGTTTAAAATCAATAAAAAGACATTTTAAAAAATAGTTGCCACCATAGTCATTACAAAAAGTCAACAATTGAGATAATACATTTTTGACATGTTTTATTTTTATATCTTGAAAGTAAAATAGCTGAATATTGGTAAAATATTTATTAGTATATAGAACTACTATTATATAGAAAAATATTTCTCAAACTTTTTTTATACATTAAGAAATATATTTATGAGGAAATAAACACACATTATTATATAATTAAACAAAAAGTTCCATGAAACATGTACCTTACTACTTGAGATTAACTTTGATAAATCTATCATTAACTATATACTGCATGAATTTCACTGCCTACTAATGGATCATAACCCATAATTTGAAATATCACTAATCCAAATCAATGCCAAGGATCATAGGATATGGAAACATGTAAATTATATTGTGTTTAAATATAATTTAATAAAGATACGCACGTACTATGAATGCATATTTGTGTATGGCTTGAATAACAGTTTTAAACAAGAGTTTGCTGGTGAGTGTATAACCATGGTACACAACAGGTTCATTTTGTGATCCATCCCAGCAATCAATTTCCAGACACCGGCATCCTTTCACAAGGGCACTAGCAAAATGTAAACAAAATAAATTGTCATTCCTGGATCATTAAAAATGTTAAAGTATTCCAAAGACTACTTGCAATTTCGCAATAAATTTGTAAATGAATCCATAACAAAGGTAAGTTGTGTTGAACTGAACACACTTTTCTTCTTCTTTTCTGTGAGCATGGCCTAACATGGAGCTATTATGGGCCAACCACAGTTCCAGCTCCACCAAGAGGGTGCGACGGGTAGGGCTATAGACTCTGACTCCTGCAATTTCTACCTGATACTTATGCTTTAAGTTCTATATGTCTCATCAAAAACATTTGATATACAGTTCACTATCAATAAATATTTATTGTCACATATATTTAAATAAATAAATAAATAAATAAATAAATATTTACTTACTGTGTTTATATTAGAAAAAACTGAGAGGTATAGGTATGTAAGAAGAAAATGGAAGGCAAACAGAAGTAATCCTCTAAACACAGTCTTGGAAAACAGACAAATGAATGAAAAGAAGCTGATTTGAAACATCAGAATCTTAGATGTGATACTCATGTATCAGGGAGAAAGTTTAAAAAAGGGGTCTCTGTCCTACATGGAGATATTTTTCCCATAGAAAACCAAGTTAGCATTTTTTTTCCAAAACAAATTTTAATTCAGCCCACTGTGTCCAGGCCAGTGGTTCTCAATCAAGACAATTTTGCCTCGTAGGCAACATTTGACAATGTGTGGAGACATTTTTTGTTACCATAACTGGGGTTGGAGGAGAGGTTTGTGACTGGCATCTAGTGGGTAGAGGCCAGAAATGCTGGTAAACAAAGAATTATCTGACATAAAATGTGAAAAATTTGAGAAATATTTCCCTGAGATATAAAAACCTGCAGAAGAGAGTGGTCCCAGCACAAAGTATTTGATGTAGAATCAATGATTCTTTCAACAGAAATGCAGAGTACCGAATAAACCACTCACAAAAAAAGACATTTTAGATCTAGTATTTCTTTGGTGATCATTTTAATCAACTTTTCAGGGAGATGACTCCAGCAGTATTTAGGTAAGAGTGTAACTGAGAAAAGATAAAGCAATTATGACACAAAAGTTGAGGTGCTGAATTCAGGGGGAAAACAAAAGAAAAAAAAAAAAGGACCTTATGTTCCCTCAGGAATAACATAGATAAAAGATGTAAGTGACCTGAGGAGGTAAGGCCTTAAAGGGGAAGAGAATTAATGGATTTTATTTATATTGGAGGCTTCACTAAAGCAATATAAAGCTAAATGGTTCATAAATTATTTGTTGAGCTTTTGGGGTGGTTTGCTTTTTAAGACTATTTTGTCTTACTTTTTAAGTGCACACTGCTTTATTCGGGCATATAGAGATTCGCTGTAATGTAAAATCTCAGAGTGTCTTAGTCCACTTGTCCCAGTGTTGGAGGGATGTCCTAAGAACCCTCTTCTAAGGAAATCTTGTTTGACCCACTGGTAGTTCCATGGGCAAATAAGGTGGCCACCTAATTTTAAGTACAAGTTCTAAAATGGGCTATATGTGCAGAAATCAAACGGAATCTATTTCTCAGCTTGTGTATTTACTTATTTGGATTTTAAATTGTAGAATAATCAATATCTGTTTGTAAAGTTTGGTAATTGCCATGAAAGAATGTTTGCTTTGCTCTTCTCTCAGTTGATTGTCAAAGTATATTGTCTTGCCCTTTTTATCAACACAGATATCAGTTGCTTGGGATGCTAGCAGAGAATAATCTTGAAGTCTCTACAGTATTGGGAAAACAAAAGACAAAAAAACTACCAAAAATTCAGTTATGGAAGAAAGCTTTTCATTAATGACAACCTACCTAATATTGATTCTTGCTATATACTTCTCTAGATAGTTCTGATTTCATCCTTGGATCCAAACAACCTTTACCAAACTACATATATTGACTCCATGATATGGTTCCCAGCAAAAGTGATTTGAGTTACTCGGAGGAATGTACAAGAAAGTATGTAAGAGAAAATCTCCTCCAGTGGTGAAGCCATTTTCTACTATTTCACATTGACCCCTTTTTGGGGAATGAATAATGAAAATTACTGTCTCTGTATAGAAATGCTCCACTTAAATAAGTTTGAGGGACTTTATAAGGATTAAAATATTTAATGCTATTAGGACAGTTTATATTAGTTTTTCTCTTTTAACGATGAGGCAATTAGACACAAGGCGTTTATGTTTGTCACATAATTAACAAATGAGAAAAAGTGAGGAAAGATCAGTAACAGAAACTTAAACATTAATAGATAAGCATTACATTATACCACCTCTCATGAGTAGAGAAATTTTAAAAGAATTGTCTTCTAAAATGATCTAAAAGGATATCTTCCACAAGTGGGTAGAGAAATAGAGGAAGAAATACAATTAAATTTAAATATTCAGTTGGGTGGAACATATTCTTGGAATTCAAAAGTAACTATATTTCTAAATCAACCTGTTTAAAATTTATATATTTTAATTAAAATAATAAAGTATGAATAGAAATTTCTATAATGAGTGTATGGCTATGAGTTGGGCTATTCTTACAGAATTCTAAGTGGATACACTTCTGAGTAAAGTTATGTATTTACTTAGATTTTAAATTGGAAAAACCATTTAACTGGGAAAAGGAGGTCAGCAGGCAGAATTAGGAGGAAAGTGAAAGTTTACATAGTCACTGAAAGGCTGGATCTCCAAGATACGTGCAAATCAAAAAGGCTCTTCCCTATGTGGTTGCCTAATATGCACAGCCTGCTTTTACTGGGAATTCCTACCAATGGAGGCAGACACCAGTGGGAACTTCCAGGGGTTTTAAAAGGTAATAAATTTAAAGATCTAAATAAATACCTTTCATATCCCCAAATGTCACTTGGCCCCACTAATTGGTCAGATATCAAGTATGTATTATGTGAACTTGAGATAAAGTAATCACTTAATGGATGGTGCATATCTTGATAAACATTATTAAATTCTTTACTAAATAGTAGGCAATCAGATGAGCACAGGAATCTTGAAAAACCTTCAAATGACATCTGGCTTGCTTGCTTAACTATATAAAAAAAAAGAAGTAAAAAGGTGAAGTAATATCATTAGCAGTATAAACATTATATCTCACTTTAAAATGTATTCAGTAATAGAGCATGTTTCTAAAATATTCATTTAGAATTAACATTAATACTATTTTTAATTTGTCTTTGGAAACAAATTTTTCTGAGCAATACCCTTAATTCTTCTGTATCAACATTTAAGTAGAGAATGTATTATTCAATTATCTCTGATTTTTTTTAATGTATTAAAAATATACACAAGTACAAATGTCATAGGTCAATGAATTTCCACAAGCTAAACATCTAGCTAACAAGCACCCAGGTCACAGATCAGAACATCAAAGCACCCCAAAAGCTTGCCTCCTGCTAACATTCAATCTCTCCCCCCACCCACCCAAGGGTATTCAATGGTCTGGCTTCTAACAGCATATCTTCATTGTCTCTTGATTTTGTGCTTTCTATGATCTCATACAGTTTGTATTTTGTGACTGGTCTATTTTACTCAAATTGTTTCTAAGATTTATTCTTTCAGTTAGACATTGTTTGTTCCCATACTGTATAGTATTCCATTGAGTGATTACACCACAATTTATTTATCAATTCTATTTTTGATGAGCATTTAGATAATTTCCAGTTTGGGGCCATTACAAAGAGTGCTGCTATAAACAATCAGTACCTGTCTTTTGACACAAATGCTTAAAACTGAATTGTTGGGTCATTTGTACATTACCATCTTCAGTAAGTTATCTCTAAACTTTTATGCACAGTATGGTCTACCAAAATTATCTACTTAAGCAGAACACTGGCTCTGGAATCAGACAGCTTGGGTTCAACCTATTCACTTGTTATGTAATGAGAATGTTATTTAACTTCTTCCTATGTTTGGAATGATGGTAATGAGAGTACTTATCCTATATATGAGCTCTAGGTTGGTTGCTGTTGTTTTTGTTGTTAATAATTCAGTTTATCTCAAAATAAGAGCTGGTGTGAATATTTGCTTTAGACTAGAGAGTGATCCTTAACAAAGAATTTTATTGCCAGGAATTTATACTATAGAAAAAGAGAGTCAAACAAAGATCAGTGTGCAAGAATGCTCACATTAGCATTATTTATAAATGGTTAATAAGAGGAGGAAACAAATTAAAGCTCAATATATAATACAATACTAAGCAGCCTTTAAAAATAATGTATCAGAAAAAAATATATAGTGACAAAAGTAAATGTTTATCATATCATAACAGTGAAAAACCTAGCATTCAAAAATACTATTACCATTTTAGTACAAAAAATAAAAGCTAGAAAAAAATACATAGAGGACACTGTAGGCATGCAAGCTTTCTGTGTCAAAGCCATGCAAATTTATGGGAACTTGTGGGGCAAATGCATCATATATTGTAATAGTAATGATTGCATAAATTGATTCTTTTTCCCAGTGCAATTAGCAGTAATCGGCTTATAGCCCTTTTGAACTAATAAATAATTAAATAAAGTTCTTTGGTAATGGAATAGAAAACAAACTCATTTTGTTCCCTTTAAATCTACAAGATTGTGATGAGAACCTCGTGGATTTTAATAACCTCATTTGGCACATGTCATATACCGATATGGAATGAGTTGAGAATCTTGGCAACATTTGGGACTCTAAAATCATATTTAAAATTGGCTTTAATATGCCTCTAAAGTGATCAATAAGCATGTAGATGAAATGCAAAGACTTGGCTGTGTCTGAAACCAAGTGAAGCAGAGGACGTTCCAAAAGATGAAATGGACAAACAGAACAGTGCAATATTATAGTTAAAATGCAAACACAATTCCAAGATGTCACTGCCACAATCTCATTATGGTGTTGTATCTTTTACCACCTGCAGGTAGCAGCGCCAAAATATTTCTTTTTGAATATTCACTAAATCAGCTCTACTGAAAGTGCTTATCAGTGAATTTCTAGTCATTGATGATATAAAGAGCTTGAGCCAGAATATAAATCAATTCACTACTTCCTTAGAGAAAGTCTTTGCTCCTAAAAAAGAGAAGTTAACTGAATTAATCAGGGCTACTAGTATTGTAGTTGTTTTACATTCTGGTGCAAACTATCTTTTTGCAAACCTACAAAAGTTTTAATGGTGATCTGATCAAACTCCCATTTGCTGGCACTGCATTTAGTCCTATTATGTTTAAAACCCCCCAAAATCTTAACAAGGACCTACAAGACTGGCAAGATTTGATCCCTGACTATCCCTCCTAATTCATCTCGCCCTCATTCTCCAAGTCCCAACCACACTATCCTCTTGTACCTTGAATTTTCCAACTCAGGTCCAACACTTTTCTTCCCTCAACTCAGACACTGCTCAGACATTTTTGTGACATGACTAGTTATTTTTTCATCATTTAAGCCTCAGCTCAAATGTCACAGCCTCATAGAGGAATCTCCTAAACACCCCACCTAAACTAGACTTCCTGGGTTGTGTACTCTCTCTGATTTTCTGTTTAATTTTTCACAGTACATAGCAATCTTTGAAATTATACTTTTGTATCTCTGATTCTTCATTGTCAATATTCCTCCAACCCCCATCAGGAATATAATAAGATCTAGTTTGCCTTATTTCCCACTGTATTTCCTCCCCTAAAAACATACTTGGTTGCCACAAATAAATATTTGAATAAATTATGAATGGGTGACTCAATGAAGGAATCAGTTTGGTTCATATGCTATATGTTAAACACTGGTTGCCATAAACCAACTTTCAAAGGCAGAATTTGGACTTTCATACCTCCTTGTTAAATAAATATTTTGAGCTACCAATTAATTTCTGTAGGATTAAACACCATGCTTTAACGTAATTGTTACTTAGGCAAATATAAAAATAATTTATTATATAATGTCTCCATTCTTTTATTTAAAATGAGCATAAATAAAAAATTTTGAAGTTTTTCTTATCCACTGAAAGATGGAACCAAAATAAAAAATATATGATAGCTCATTAGCCTAAGGCAGCAATTTTCAACCTTTTTCATCTCATGGTACACCTAAAGTAATTACTAAAATTTTGCAACATACCAAAAAGTATACTTTTTCCCGATCTGACAAAGAAAGATAAGTATAATTTCGATACATTCACACTGGACAGCTATTTTTGTGTTTGCTTCTGTCATTTATTTTTTACTTATTTTTACAATCTAAAGGAAAAGAAGTCAGTGCCCCTGACTAAATAGTCAGGTGTTGCATGTTTTAAAAATTCTTGTGGCACACCGGTTGAAAATCGCTGACCTAAGTGGTCATTTAATTTAAACCAGATGACTATATTCAAAAATAAAGAAAAAGCAAAATTTTGAAAATGTGTCTAAAATATTGTAGTCAATTATGCATGTAGACAGTGGACAAATTAGTGAGTTTATAGTACTTTATCTCTTTCCTATAATTGTTTTATTTAGCTAATTTATTATTCATGTGTTTATTCAATAATATAATGTATAAAGATTGAAGACTACTCATAACTGAATTTTTATCTTATTAATGACTATACAGGCACTTTCTTCTATTATAGTACACATAACAGAATCTTCATCTTGCTTTTTACCCCTAAGCTTATCTCTGAACATTTGACAGATACATAAAAGCAGTTAAAAGAAAGGAGCTGGAAAATGAAATAGGTATATATGCAATAAAATGCAAGAATAAAACTACAAATATTTTATATTATCCAGAAGAAATTTGACCCACCCCAAAATTTGAATTTGATAACCGTAGTTCATTAAAAAATGCTAAGAATGTAAATATTTGATAAAACTTTGAAATGCAAGCCTACCTTCTTCAATAGGCTCATATTTTTGAATGATCTCAGAAGCAATACTTTTACTCATGTTAAATATATACTGCTCTTGTGTCAAAAAGTCATCCAGATTTTTTTCAAAAAGAAATTTCCGGTTTTCAGCATACGCATTGAAAATCTCCATAATTTCTTCTCTGTGTACAATACTTCGATAAATTGATCTAAATTCTTCTATGGTGATTCTTCCTTGCTTCAGCCTGTCATTATCCTACTAAATAAAAATCACTAGTGGGCTCACATTGTGAATATAAAAAAAAATACACAAACAATAAATTAGAATATTTGGTAACATGCAGAGCAACTTATACTTGAAAGAAGATGAATCTTAGATTAGATTAGTATCTCAGATAAAATATATAAAACTGCAGGAAGTGGTGCCAAAGTTGGGAAAAGGTTAATGGATCACCACCACTTAAAACATAGCTGTAGCAGGAGTAGAATAAGGTTTTGGAAAAGATGAGTATTCTAGTATGTTTTTGAAATACACATTTTCTTTTCCTATTCCAGTCTCTGTCAGGGCCTTCTTGAAACCATGCTAGACAGTATGTATCCCATGCTACTAATATGCAGCCTGCACCATAAATGTCAGAGAAAATCAGAGGCATGCAAGATCACTGTAAACTACAGGTGCTGCAGAAATTAGGTAGTGCCTGAAGGAGGTAGTATCTGCATATCATGAAGGATTTGGGATAGTGACAAACAAGGTAGGTTCCAATAAGAAAACATGGATTCACCTGGCTGTTCTGGAATTTTCATTTTTGAACTTTATGACATAAGAGAAAAAATTGGGCTGGGTCCAGTTATTAAAAGCTACAGAATCACTGGGAGGGTGAGTAAGAAAATGACTAGCAAAAGCAGAAGTTTAGTATCATTATCTGCAATACTAATATGAAGAGATGCAGAATAGCATCTAAGGGAACAGAGAGGATATAATCCAAGAGGATATGGTCAGTAAAAACTAAAGAAGAAGTGACGTCCAAAGAATGGCAGTGTGAGAGAGCCCCTTGTCCTCTCCCCCTGACATTTTCAACAAGTTAACAAACTATAATTCAACAAAGGAAGCCCTGCTCAACACAGATGCATGCCTGAGAGACCCAAGCATTGAAACATCTAAAGGTGGGCAACCAGGAATAAACGGGGAGACCAAATGGGAAGAAGTGCAGCCCTACATTGGGGAGCTCATGGTTGGGCCAGTAGCAGGCGCTTCTTTTGGCATGCACGGTGGAGGGGTGGAGGAGCAACAGCAGAACAAGTGGCAAGGGAGCAAACAGTATCTGTTCAGCAATTCCTCTCCTGGGTATATACCCGAAAAACTCAAAATCATGTATTTGCAGAGATATATGCACCCCTATGTTCATTGCAACATTATTCATAGTGGCCAAGACATGGAAACAACCAAAGTGTCCTGCAATAGAGGACTGGATAAAGAAGATGTGGTACATACACACAATGGAATGCTACTCGGTTGTAAGAAAAGATGAAATAGCGCTGTTTGCAGCAACATGGATGGACCTTGAGAACATTAGGCTAAGTGAAATAAGTCAGTCAGAAAAGGCTAACAACCATATGATATCCCTCATATGTGATGGAAACAACCAAAGTGTCCTGCAATAGAGGACTGGATAAAGAAGATGTGGTACATACACACAATGGAATGCTACTCGGTTGTAAGAAAAGATGAAATAGCGCTGTTTGCAGCAACATGGATGGACCTTGAGAACATTATGCTAAGTGAAATAAGTCAGTCAGAAAAAGCTAACACCCATATGATATCCCTCATATGTGAGATATAAAGCTGAAAGTCATGAACACAAACAGCAGTGTGGTGGTGGCCAGAGGGAAGAAGGTGAGGGGAGAAGGGGGTCCTAATATGAGGTGTCAGGAGAAGATTTGACTTTGGGTGGTGGGCACACAGTGCAATATACAGATCTTGTAACATAGAAACCCACACCTGAAACCTATATGTTCATGTTGACCAATGTCACACCAATCAATTTAACTTAAAAAAGCAATTAAAGAACAGGTGTCAGTGAAAGTATGAAGGAAGAAGTCAGAAGAACTTAAATATTAAAATTTTAGACGCATAAGGGAGAGAGAAGTCAGAAATGTCTGGAGATGGAAAGAGTTAGAATAACTAGTGGAATAATAGTAACACAAATAACAAACTGAGCACAGAAACTGCACCTTTGGGCCTTTAATTTCAAAAGAGGCTATGCATTTATATTTGAACTTCCTCATTACACTGTAAACAGATTAAATGCAAGGAACATGGGCCATTGTATTTTGGTGAAAAGCTAACAATTGGTAGACAAAATGGACGAACATATGCGTGGCTCCACAATATGTGAGACTTTGGACATATGAATTAAACTCTCTAAGCTTTGTATTCATCTGCAAAATGGGGATAGATAATACTACCTATATCACCCAGTTGCTGTGCAGATTGGAGATGTACAAGATGGGAAGTTCTAGATGTCAATGTATTGGATGTCTTATCTATATCTGCTTCCCTCACCTCATCCACCCTAGGGTCTCATCTTTTGACAACTTGGCCTATACAGTGAACCTTTGGGTACAATAGGGGACAAACATGCTGGAAAGGAACTCTTCCTTTCATGAGGAAAAGTTCAATGGTGATTACCAGAGAGTTTGATATGAGGAATTCAAGAAGCAGTCTGAGCTGGGAATCAAATAGGAAGTTTTGCAGAAAAAGCTGTTTCATTTTAAACATTAAAGTATCTGTGCATCCAAGCAGAGACTGCCAATAGGCACTTGGATGGAGTGGAAAGAGAGGATTGGTGTGTTAGAGGAGAACACATGACAATAAGGATTTTGGAGTCAGACATACCCAGATGTGAGTTCCCACAGTTATATGAGATATGAACAGATTACATCACTGTCTTTATCCTCGATATCCTTCTGTATTAAAAGATGCTAGTAATAACCTCTTTGAATGTTTGTTAAACAATAATGTGTGCAAAAACCTAATATAGTGCCTAGAACATGGCAGATGACAAACACATTTTATCATGTCTCTGTATATGGCTTTGTTATTCATGATGGAAAACTGAAATTTTGTCCCCATGAGAGTAGTAATTCAAGCCATTGAAAGTCAATAAGGTAGTTCATAGGAGGCTACAGAACTCACCTCCTCCCACAGACACACCAAATCTACAGCTGCATATGGTACAATTTTCTCTGAAAGAAATCTAGAAACTAGTTGATCAAATCCTACACATGGGGTGGATGAGGGGAAAACCCACATCAAAAAGGGTAGGAGAGGCAGAAACATCATCTCCCCATCATCTCCAGCCCCAGCAGGGTGACCTATAATCTGGATGCAACTCCCAACTCCCAGTTTCTCCCTGAGGAATGATGGGTTTGAACCCAATATCTAGTGCCTCAACTTTTAAGATTCCCACCTGAGAGACAGGCTCCCAAAATACCTAGCTCTGAAAGCCAACTGGGGCAGGTGTCCACAAGACCCAAAAGACCACTGTAAACAGTTCTTCGTGGCTCCTGAGGGCTGGTGGCATGCCCCCTGCACACACTCTCAGGCCTCCACACCGAGGCAGGACAGGGAAGCACCTAGTGTTCGCCTGCAAGAGGCCCCTGAGAGTCATGCTTCTGATTAATACACCTCTAGGGGCCGAGTGTGCCATCTTCATGCCTCACTTCAGATCACCAGTGTCTCCCTGAAAGAAGCTGTGCACACATCTGGCACCCGGGCTTCTGCAGCTGCTAGTCAGGGGATGAGCTCCTTGGTTGCCCAGCTCTGGTGGCCAGTGGGGCTCACATTTGGGGGTGCTACGGGTCTGTAACACACAAGGAAACCGTTCTTGATTGGCTATTTCCCCAGGGCTCAGCGTAGACACAGCCAGAGTCAGAGGCACCCAATCCCCAGGCTATCTCTGAGGGAGGCCCAGGTTGAACACAACAACAAGGTTTAACACGGCTGCAGTTCTCCAGAGACTTTGTGTTGTCCTCCTGCTCTGCTCCGGGTTGGAGGTGTCCCACTGGAGGGAATGTATGGCCTGGCTCTGGTGGACAGCGAGGCTTGTGTTCACGGGTTAAGCAGAACTGTGGCAAACAAAGGAAAAGTCCTTGGTTGGCTGTTCCCCTGGGCCTCAGAGCAGAGAGTGGACTGATGCCTCCACCCATCTCCCAGTCCTTCCCTGAAAGAGATCTGTTTGCATACTTTGCCTGAGGGTCCAGCTTCCAATTAGCCTGCAGCCAGGTGCTGAGATCCTCCCTTTGGGACACTGGCAGGTCTTGGCACACACCCTCCCAGAACTAGGAGCCACTAAGAATAAAGTAGCTTTGGGAAATCACAAAGGTTGAGAAAAATAAGAGCTCAGGCTGAGCTAAACAATGAGGTTTATCTACTAAATGAGACAGCTTCCTCAAGACTAGCAGAGGTGAATGCTCCATCTAAGGCACAGAAACCAACAGTTTAAAAAAAGTTAGAAGAACAAAGGAAAATGTTCGAAACAAAAGAACAAGATAAAACCCCACATACAGACTTTAATGAAACAGAGATAAGTGACTTATCTGTCAAAGAGTTCAAATAATGGTCATAAATATGATGGCGTTTCCCCAGAAAATTACAAATAGACCTAAATATGTCCAGCAATTACACTTCTTGGTATTTCTCCAAAGGAAGTAAAATCACTATTTTGAAAAGATATCTGCACCCTCATGTTTATTGCAGCATTATTTACAATAGCCCAGCTATGGCAACAACCAAAGTGTCCATCAGATGAATAGATGAAGAAAATATGATATGTATATCAGTCATAAAAAGGAAGATGATTATGTAATTTGTGACATTATGGATGGACCTTGAGGGCATCATGTAATGTGAAATAGGTCAGAAAGAGAAAAAACAAATACTCCTTTTATGTGGACCAAAAAAAAAAAAATTGAACTCATAGATACAGAGAGCAGATTGGTGGTTGCTGGAGGCGGGGATGAGAGAGGGCAGTTGAAGGTGGTTAAAAGATATAAACTTCCAGTTATGAGATAAATAAGTTATGTGGATTTAATGTATAGCCTGGTGACTAAAGTCAACAATACTGTATCATATATTTAAAAGTAGCTAAGAGAGTAATCTTAAAAATTCTTATCACAAGAAAAAAAATTTCTAACTATGTGAGGTGATGGATATTTACTAAACTTATTATGGTGATCATTTCACAACATATACATACATCAAATCATGTTGTACATCTAAAACTAATAAAATGCTATATGCCAATTATATCTCAATAAAACTAGAGGGGAGGGTAAGAAAGTCAGTAAGATTCCTCCGGAAGGTTTGTAAGTAAAAAGTAAAAAAAATTAAGAACTGAATTTTAAGAAGAGAGCAGAAGGACAGGTGAGAAGGAATGATGAAAAATTTTAAGCAAAAACTAGGTGACAATGATGTCACAGAAATCAGAATAGAGAGAACTTTAAGAGTAATAAATAAAATGCACACAGAGGCTTCACCATGGGAAATAGCATTTTAGAAATAAATATGTTTCCAAAATTGGTGTGAAAGCAAATTGTATTGCAATAGATGAGTGAAGAAGTGGAGAGAGAAATGTACAGTAAGGAATTTTTTCAACTCATCTACTAAAAGAGAGAATGTAACATTTAAAAAAGGATATGGTGCTACATATTTTTCAGATAAGATTAAACATAAACTTGGTTGAACTGTGGTAGGAACTCATAAACTTCAAGTGGAATCAAACAAAAATATAAGTGGCTGAATCAACCCAAGTTGCAGATTTGTAGGGCCAAAGCAACAGGGAATTCTCTACCTTGTCTCTCTGCCTGCTATAATCTTAAAAATTCTTATCACAAGTTCCTAATGCCACGACCCTTTAATACAGTTCCTCATGTTGTGGTGACCCACAACCATAAAATTATTTTCGTTGCTACTTCATAACTGTAATTTTGCTACTGTTACGAATCGTAATGTAAATATCTGATATGCAGAATGTATTTTCATTGTTACAAATTGAACATAATTAAAGCATAGTGATTCATCACAAAAACAATATGTAATTATATATGTGTTTTCCGATGGTCTTAAGCGACCCCTGTGAAAGGGTCGTTCAACCCCCAAAGGGGTCGCGACCCACAGGTTGAGAACCGCTGGTCTAATCCATTCTACAGTGCTGCCATATGTATCCTAAAATACACACTATGTCTCTACTCAAAAGCTTCAATGGCTATCCATTTCCTACAAAAGTAAATCCAAATTCCAAGGCCTACCATTCAGGATTTCTTATCTGGCCAGAACTGGCATTTGTAGCTATTTCTCATCACTCCCCTTCATGCATCCTATACTCAGATCATGTTTGATCACCTTTTATCCCCCAAGTACTTCTTGTACTCTACTCTATACATGTTGCCTCTCATTCTTCATGCTCCAAGAAGAAGGCCACCTCCACCATGGCATTTTTACAAAAGCCCAAGTTGGAGTCTCTGTCTTCTCAGATTCCTTGTTAGTATTACCCATGATATTTATTATAATCTACTTATAAAATAATAATTTCTGCCTTTCTTTCTTCCTTATGAAAGATAATACTTTATTTATGTTTTATAGTTTCTAAGTTTCTAACTGAGTGGTATGTACATACTATGATTTAATAATGGTTGTTATCTGTTTAGAGAATTTGAAAACTTAAGGTAAGTCCTATAATAATATAAAATTTTGAAATTAAGAGGATACTATTTTATATTCAACCAACAATTCAGAGTATAATCTATGATTGGTTATGTGCATTAAAATTATACAGATTTCCTATAGAATATCTTACATGCTTCAAGTCAATGATAAAAGCAAGGAGGACCTAGCCAGCTTGGCTCAGTGGATAGAGCATCGACCCACGGACTGAAGGGTCCCAGGTTTGATTCTGGTCAAGGGTACATAGCTCAGCTGCAGGCTTGATCCCTGGCCCTGGTTAGGGTCCCTGCAGGAGGCAACCAATCAATGTGTTTCTCTCATATCAATGTTTCTGCCCCCATTCCTGCCTGCCCCCTATCCCCCAATCCCTTCTACTCTCTCTACAAGAAAAAAAATCAATGGAAAAATATTCTCAGGTGAGGATTAACAAAAAAAATTTTAAAGGAGGGAAGAAGTCTAATAAAGGGATTTTTTAAAATTAGGGAGTTGCTGCTCAAGCCATGACTCAATCATTTTTTTAAAAAAATTAGAATATTTTGCTATGGCCATAGTATTATAAAGGGTTAGACAAAATTAAGTTTACAGTTGTGAGTACATGAAACAGAGCTCATTCTTATATATTATTTATTTATTTATTTATTTATTACCTTATTATTATCATCATTATTATTTTATTATCTTATGGTTTATCATTTAGGTAATGCTGGCTGACAATTAACCTACTTTTGCCCACCACTATATATTTTTTACTCAAATTTTATAATAAACTTTTACATTGTGAGGAAATAAATTCATGTCAGAATTGATGTCAGCTTCTTAGGAAATCAATAAATGTAATACAACTTTCTATATTTATTTTTAAATCATTATGGACATACCTTCAACTAATTTACTAGTGCCTACATTTTGCTAAGCCTGGTGCTAGGTACATTACAAATAACACCTTATTTGACATTCAGAACAACCCTGCAAGATAACTATATTAGTATCCCCACTCTGCAGATTAAGACTTTTGCTCAGAGAGACTGCTGACTTGCCTTGCAAGTATCACACAGCTCATATCTAATAGAGTGAAGAATCTCCATGCCTACTGAGCTTGCTAACAACAGTAGCTTTGAGACACTAGAAGATTTGGGTCACCAAAATAAGATTCATAATGATTCACTTTATTTACTATGGCTAAAGGTGTACCCATAAAGTGAGGAAAGATTAGCAGCAAAAGTTGAAGCAGAAGATTGGGATATTTAAGAAACTGAATCTTCAGCTATCCAGAAAATTCACTTAGCCAATACACCTTCCTTAAGAATTCTATTTAATCAACATTTTTTTTAAATATATTTTATTGATTTTTTACAGAGAGGAAGGGAGAGGGATAGAGAGTTAGAAACATTGATGAGAGAGAAACATCAATCAGCTGCCCCCTGCACATCTCCTACTGGGGATGTGCCCACAGCCAACGTACATGCCCTTGACCGCAATCGAACCTGGGCCCCTCCAGTCCGCAGGCCAATGCTCCATCCACTGAGCCAAACCGGCCAGGGCTTTAATCAACATTTTAATAAACATATGGCAGTTTAGCTTAAGGCAACGAGTATTATTTATTAGAGGGCCTAGGGGAATTATTTTAATAGATAAAATAGTTTGTCATGGCCATCAACCTCAATTATATGTAATTTATGCTTCTAAAGTACTTGGGGTCAGTTTAAAGAGGTTTTTGAAGTATATTAGGCACTCTCCACCTCTCTAATTTTTATAATTAACATTGTTTTCATAGCCACTCCAAAAAGGTTTTGCTAAACAAAATAGACCCTCAGCTCTGTCCTATCTGAATAATCATAAATTTCAATTAATGAGCTATTTCTTTACTTTTTATAAATGTTGAGCTTTCTACATAATGCTTTTCAATATGGCATGCATTTCACTCATGTGCATTTCAAACAGATATCTCTATCTCGAAGAAAATTCAAAGCAACCTGATAAATCACTGAATAAAACTTACAGTATTTCACATTTGACAGAGATTTAATTGCCACCTCTATATTGTGTTGAATGTGAAATTTTATTAAACCTGAAAGGATGTAGCTATTTCTCCCCTTGAGCAATAACACGGGGAAATTTCTGTGTGTAAAGGTCTTTCACAAAAACTTGTGTCCTTCAGATGTAGTATTAGACACAAACTGATTAAAATTCAGAGAGCTTATTGCAGCACACGCTACATAGATTCATTGAAACAACTCTGAAGCATTTGTCTTTTACTGCAGTCTCCTGAGTACTACAGCTTTTCTGTTTGAACCTCCTCTTTGTGGTTTGTAAAGATGGGGGCTACATCTTCTTGGGAGAAGTGTTTGTTAGGAGGCAATTCTCTGTAGGTCTTGTGCTTCTGCACATTTTTGGAGCAGAGAAACCAACATTCTTTCTTCAGGACTAGCTTTTAAAGGATGTTTGCATAATGAAGATACAGTGTATCCCTCTGAGAAATCAACAGGTTTGCTTACTGCGCGCAATGAAAACGCTGACACCCTCCTGAGCAAAAAAGTCAGACTGACTTACTGCCTATAATAAAAGATCTGGGTTCCTCAAGCTTGAGGTTGCTCTCTAATAATGCAGCCCATTGCATGTGTTGTACATGTCACCTGGCCTTCCTTACATCATCACACTTTGAGAACCGGGGCTTAGAAAAATGGCATCAAAATGCTGATACTCTGGCAACTGCTATTTTTGTGAGTAACAAGCTGTCTTGTTTCTCTGAAGAGGAAGCCTGCCTCTGCCAGCACCTGTGAAACTATATCAGACTAGCTGGTTCGCTGGCAAGTAAGGGAACATAAGCTTGCCAGTTTGTGCTAGTGGTAGCAATTTCCATATAGATTGTGTTTCTGGCTACTCATGTCCAAAAGACAAAATCAAAGTTAGGATATCTAACTTCCTAACTATCTAGATTGGCCAGTGTAGTCGTCGTTCCTGATTCACCAAGAAATGTGCCATTTGCAATATTTGCAAAACTTGGCTAAACACTTGACTTCTCATTTTATTCATGATCTTCCCTCTGTCCTCTCGTGGGAAGATGGCTGAGCCAGGTTCCCTTTCTACCAGATCTTCCTTAAACGGAGAACTTTGGGCATGATTTTCTACTTTGAGGTAAGTAAATGCAAATTATTTTCAAGATTACCCACTTTTCTATAAATCACTAACATACAATTCATATATTGTTTCATCATGTATATGATTTAATCTAATCATATAACTGATCCTAACCTAATGTCAACGTTCCTGTATTTTCAGTAGATTCTTCTAAACTGGTAATCTGGTATTATTTCAAATTTTATCAACATCTGGTTTTACATCCTACCTAGATTCTATATTGATTCTAAGTATTTTTAGCATAATTAATTGCTTTAATTCTTAAGAAACTAATTTTTCATATGTTATTTTCTGCAGAAAGCATCCAAGTAGCTATTGACATTTTGCTATATTGGGTTAAGTCCTTTCCAAAGTAGGGTCGGCAGGGGCGGATAGCATCTCACCTTAAAAATATACTTCACATGAATATAATTACATTGAATATTAAATTTTTCAAGTAATTTCAGAGCTTTTTCTAGGTTAATTTTTCCACCTCTGAAGTCTTCTCGAACAACTGACAAAAACCACATATGAAACACAAAGAAGGAAGTTAAGGAAATTCTCACAGAAAATCATGACGTACTTAAAATGCCTAAAGAAATATTTGATCTCTCTTCAGTTTATTTTTGTTTTTAAAGAATAGTCTATCCTGTGCTTAAATTACAAGGTAATTCTATGATAATATTTAAACAAAACTAAGTAAGTATTATTCTCCAGTAAAGGTATGAAAGGGCATAACACAATAAAAATTACAGGAAAATAAAAATAAACATTTATGAAATCAGTTATTACTTGGGAAATACAGTCTATTGCCTAAAGATATGGATTTGGGAGGCAGCTGGACTTCAAGCTATCTCTGTCACCTGACCGCTTTCAGCTTCAGGTCCCTCATCTGAAAAGTGTTCAATTTAATATTTAGAGAAGGTGGGGACAATAAATGAGTTCACAATACATCATTGAACACAGTTTCTGCTACTGAGTGTTCAATAAAAATAGTAACCATATCTGATATTGTTTCTGCATTAGCCAAATGTCCAGCTACACACATGCCCAAAAAATAAACATATGCAGTACCATCAAAAAGGGTTTAAAATGGCATAATAAGTGTATATTTGGTATGAAAATAATCAAGCTTATTTATTTATAGATACACTACAAAAATTAGAATACTTCCATTTGAAAAACTAAGATTGAAAAGAACATGACAGTCTATAAAATCATGAAAGGCATTGGTAAAAAATATTGTTCAATAATCCACTCAATTTCAGATTGTTAGAACTACTGAGAAGCCCTTCAATTTAATGGCTAATACTTACTATGGTAAAATTCATGTTCTTATAGGAAAAAGATACCGGAAGCTAGGGAAACTCAGAAAAAAGCTCAGAACAGATATGGAAGGAATACGTCTATATGTAAATGAGAGGGATTTAAGTTCAGGAGTCCTCAAACAAGAATGAGAAAAGAATAAAAGGGATAAAACAAGAGGAAGATGAGGAAAGAGGAATAGAAAGGACTTTTGAATGGATATTTCTCCATATTTTCATGACCTGGCCTTCCCTTTCTCCTTGCTTAGAAGTCTCTCCACAATAGGTGTTGTCAACGGTTCCGGATATAATTATTTCTGCCCCTTTGCAAGAAAGGTATCTCTTGATACTCATCAGCTGTTGTCACTGCCCCTTTCTAGAGAGAGAGAAGAGAAGGAAAAGTGATTTATTGTCTTTGTTCTTTGGAGACGACTCACACTTAATTCCCATAGAAACAATTCACAATATGTGCTCCTTGCACCTCACTACCCTGGAAACTTTCGGGCTATTGCTTATGCTCTGACCATCTCCAAATCCACAATGTTTATAAATGCTGCATCTCCTGCTGTCCGGCATTTTTCCATGAACTGCCACCAAATCTCGTTTTACTTTTGCTATCTTGTTCAAAGCCCTCAACCCTTTCAGCATACCATGCTTCCAGCAGGTTTAAGACAGCTATTCTGATAGTCTGAGTATAAGTCAGCGCCATTGTGGTCCCAGAAGGTGCAAAGTTCTGCAAAACACTCTCTAGCAACTCTGGGATGCTTCTCTGGATCCCTGACAATATCTAATGTATGTGGAGACACACCACTTTTGAAGAAGGCTGTTCAGAAGGCTAAGTTCATAATACCTCCAAAATACAGATAACTGGTTGGCTGGGCACCATGCTGTCAAGTGACTGTCATTTTTATTTTTTTGGTCTGAGCACCCATTGTGATGTCATCAAAAGTTCCACGCTTCATAGAAAAAGATTCTTTATGACTTCATCAGGAGACTCAGAGCTTGCCAGGCTACCTGTTTTCATGGTTAGACACAGTAATCTTAAGCTTGAATGTTGAACACCTTGATGGGAAAGGTGACTCATGGAATGTTTTCTCATCCTTTGAACACACTTAATTTCAGAAGCTTTGCTTCTGCTGCAACCAAACATGTCACTCACTGTTCTGAGTAGGAAAGAGAAAGAAAGAGCAATTCGCAGACTGTTGATACAGGCTCCTCCAGGGGAATTCGTCAATGCCTTTGATGATCTCTGTCTGCTTATCCGTGATGAAAAACTTATGCACTATCAAGGTGAGTGTGCAGGCCATCAACACTGCCAAAAATACTATGTTCCACTCTGCATCGATGGAAATCCAGTCCTCTTGTCTCACCACAATGTAGTGGGTGACTTCCGGTTTTTTGACTGTCACAGCAAACTGTCTTTCAAATTCGACCTGCTTCAAAACCAGTTAAAAGACATCAAAACTCATGGCATCATTCGGAATGAGACAGAATACCTGCGAAATGTTGTTCTGTGTGCCTTGAAGCTGTATGTGAATGACCACTATCCAACAGGAAACTGCAACGTGCTGAGAAAAACTGTGAAAAAAAAGGAGTTCTTGATAGCGTGCATTGAAGATCACAGCTATGTAACAGGAAATTTCTGGAATGGCCTTTGGAAATCTAAATGGATTTTCCAGGTGCATCCATTTCTAACCCAAGTAACAGGAAGAATTTTTGTGCAAGCTCACTTCTTCAAGAATGTCAACCTTCATATTGAAATCTCTAAGGACCTGAAGGAAAGCTTGGAAATAGTGAACCAAGCTCAGCTGGCTCTAAGTTTTGCGAGGCTTGTGGAAGAGCAAGAGAATAAATTTCAAGCTTCGGTCTTAGAAGAATTACAGGAGTTATCGAATGAAGCCCTGAGAAAAATTCTCCGAAGGGATCTCCCAGTGACCCGCACTCTTATCGACTGGCAGAGGATACTCTCCGACCTGAATCTGGTGATGTATCCTAAGTTGGGATATGTCATTTATTCACGAAGTGTGTTATGCAACTGGATAATATAAATGATTGCTCCTGGTAATTGTCTCAACCTGATTTAGTCATGGGTCTGGGGGATGGTTATTTTCCTAACGTTAAGAAGCCACTGGAGAAACCTGTAACTTGGCAAATGCAAGTTTAAATTAGGGAAAAGTGTAATGAGTACATTTACTCAGGAAATATTCACCAGTGAGGCAAGAAAGGTGTTAGTAAATGTGATTCATCATATTGATCATCATGAAGTCATGTTTATTAGAATCTAAAATAGCTTTATGGAATGTGGCGCCCCAGAAGTATTATAGAGCTGGTCAGTGTTAAGGCTCTGTGTGTGTGTGTGTGTGTGTGTGTGTGTGTGTGTGTGTGTGTGTGTGTGAATGACTTTTGTCTTTCTTTGGATCTGGAGAAGGTATGCAAATGATACTTCATATTTTTCAATTAAGTCCTACACCAACCCCGAGAGGGTGAATTTCAATAAGGTTAGATGTTCCATGAAACCAACAGAGATCAAAAATCCAGCTCAGATGAAGAATTATTAGTAAACTTGGATCCACTGCCAACACACACACACACATACACACACACACACACAGATCTTTATGTCAGGCCCTGTGTTAAATGATTTGCACACAATTTTTCATCATTAGGCTGTCACTGGTAGTAACCCAATTTTACAGAAGAAGAATCTAAGATTTTGAGTTATTTAATTTCCTCCAGGCATGTGGCATGTGACAGGTGTGTCTGACTCTAGCACTTGCACCTTTAACCCATAGGGTATTAGAATTCTTCATGGACACCTGTCTCATCAAGAGTTGTAAACAATGGTCTAGGCAAGCACTCCACACAAAGGACACCTTCAAAGGAACTGGAACTGGTGGGCTATTTCCTAGCCAAGACAAATTACCTACATGGTCACCCTATCACCATTCCCAGCAATGTTACCAACCACTTGTGTCTGCTCTCAGAGAATTCCAAATTTAAACTTCTCAAATGAGATTGCAGTAGAGCCATAGACAGATCCCATTCCCCAATTCTGACTTATCCAGGAAGCAAAGTATATTTTGGATCCATGCAGTTGAGAAAATGTCTAATTCTACCAAGTGTTGGAGCAGAGAAGATCCTATGCAAGAATGTCTAAATCTCAAGCCTCTCTTCCCCAACTGGTAGTTCTTAGAGAATCTCAGAAAAAATTACCCAGGTCTATCTTTAAAAATACAGCTTCCCAGTACCCATCTTCAGATTCTGATTAAGTAGGTCAGGGAAGTTTACATTTCAAACAGGGGGTCCCAAAACTACATTTTAAGAAATATTTCCCTGCCCTGGCCAGGTGGCTCAGTTGGTTGTAGTATCACCCATACAGCAAAAGGTTGTGGGTTTGATTCCCTCTCAGAGCACATAACTAGGTTGCAGTTGGATCCCCGGTAGGGGTGCTTATGGGAGGCAACCAATCTGAATGTTTCTCTCTTTTTTTTCTTTTTTTGCTTTTTAATCTCAATGTTTCTCATATCAATGTTTCTCTCTCTCCCTTCCTCTCGAAAATCAATAAGGCATTTTATCGGGTAATGATTAGGAAAAAAAGAGAAGAAATATTGTCCTAATCTTAAAGTAACACATCTCTGCTTTCTATTTACTTAATTAAAATAATAGTCTGTAAAACTGTTGTTCCATAAAGTCATTTCTACTCTTTCACTGGATTCACAATGCCAGAGACCAAGGATAAACTTTTATCTATCATGATAAAAAGTTAAGAAAAAAAACTTTCTAACACACACACACAGCAAAATAAAAAAAAGAATTGCCCTCTTTGCATTAAAATATACCCACCTGACAAATTCTTTAGCAAAAGCTTGAATTGATATTATGGTTATATATGTAAATGTTCATTTCCCACATCATTCCAGAATAGGACTCAGTGGTTTATGGGACAATCACAGAGGCATTTAGCTTCTACTCTAACTCAGGGTTTTAAAGATAATATTTATTGGTATTCCTGGATATAAAAGTCCCATGTACAAATCATAGAAAATGATTAAAGTATAAAGCATGTTGGCCTATTTCTTTCCACCCAATTTTATTGAATTGTTTTAAATATTAAAACTATACAGCATATAAAAAATTGTATCTTGATTTTTAACCATAACTTCCTATATCATAAATATTTTCCCATGTCATTAAAACTCCTTGAGGACATAATTTTAACTATTTAT